TGTGCATCAACTGCTACAACACCAAGGGCCACACCCACGAGATGGTGAAGGTGGGGCTGGGCCCCGATGAAGAGGCCGAGGGTGGCGATGAGGGCGGCAACCAGGAGGAGCGCCGCTTGAGGAGCTTCCGGGAGTTGCGGCGCCAGGCGATCCAGCGCTGCATCCAGTCCCTGAGGCATGCCCGCCAGTGCGGCAACGCCAACTGCCCGCAGGCGTCCTGCCATAAGATGAAGCGTGTCGTGGAGCACACCAAGGGCTGCGAGCGCAAGACCAATGGAGGTTGTGGCGTGTGCAAGCAGTTCATCGCCCTTTGCTGCTACCATGCCAAACAATGCCACGAAAGCCCATGCCCCGTTCCCTACTGCCTCAACATCAAGCAGAAGATCCGCGAGCAGGAGTTACAGTACCGCCGGCAGCACGCCTAGCTCATGCACCGGCGGGTGCCACCATCCACAGCTGCATGTGCCTCAGCAGCGCCTGCCTTCCCTCCTTCAGCACCACCCGCGCCCCCCACATTGCATCCCACCCCTGGACACGTCAGGAGTCCCTGGTGGTGGTGATGCCAGGCCATCTAGCGCTGCATCCAGTCCCTGAGGCGTGCCCGCCAGTGCCACGACGCCAACTGCCCGCAGCCATCCTGCCAGAAGATGAAGCGGGTTGTGCAGCACACCAAGGGCTGCCAGCACAAGACCAATGGAGATTGCAGAGTGTGCAGCAGTTCATCGCCCTTTGCTGCTACCATGCCAAACAATGCCACGAAAGCCCATGCCCCGTTCCCTACTGCCTCAACATCAAGCAGAAGATCCGCGAGCAGGAGTTACAGTACCGCCGGCAGCACGCCTAGCTCATGCACCGGCGGGTGCCACCATCCACAGCCGCATGTGCCTCAGCAGCGCCTGCCTTCCCTCCTTCAGCACCACCCGCGCCCCCCACACTGCATCCCAGCACACCCTGGACACCACAGCCCTCGACTCTGCCCCAGCCCTCACCTGTGAGCATGTCTCTAGATGACTTCTCCAGCATGGCCAGAACTCAGCCCCCATCAGTTTGCACTGGGAAGCTCACTAACCAGATGCCAGCCCCACTGCCCTGCCAGGCCCACCTGCAGCAGTGGAGGCGCCCGGCAGATGGCACGTGAGGCGCAGCAGCGGCAGCATCTATACTGGGTGAGCACCAACAACGCTCTGCTCCTGCGGGACTGACCCCTGAGAGCCAGATGGCCCCCATGGGCCTGAATGTGACCCAACCAGGTCAGTGGGCCTGTTATTCTGCTGCCCCCCCCCGACCCCCAGCAGTGGCAGCCGGCACCCATCGCCCAGCAACAGCCCATGTGGGGCATGCCCAGACCCGTGATGTCTATGCAGACCCAAGGTGCAGCCACCTCAGAGCGTCTCACCATGGGGCCTGCAGGACCTGCCGTGTACCCTGCGCCCCCAGCGGCAGCATGTGCTCAACATCCCCAAGTCAAACCTTCAGCTGATGGCAAATCTCATCAAATAGCACACGGCCAAGTGAGTGCCCAGCCAGTCCGACCTTCAGCTCCAGCCCAGCCTGCAGCCCAGCCTGCAGAACCTGACCGCCATGCAAGCCAGCGGCCCCAACCTGC